AGAGAGAGAGAGAGAGAGAGAGAGAGGTGTGTGTGGCCAGCTCAGCCCACCAGGGGGCGGGCTGGCTAGCATGTGGTGCTGGGGGATTGAACCGGGGTCCCCAATGCTTTGCCAAGCTTGTTCTAAGTAGGTGCTTTAGACCACTGAGCCATCTCTCCAGCCCCATCTCAGACTCTTTAATACCCTGAAACTTAGACTGTCCACTGCAGGTCCAGCCCTTGGCCTCTCACAGGTGACGTACAGGGCCCCCAGATCCTACCCTGGCTCCTGGCCTTTCTGGGCTTTTGCTTCATAGCCACTACCTTCCATTGCTCCTTTCCAGGATATGTGACAGGCGGCCACGTCCTCCGTCTTTTTCATGGACACATGGATGAGTGCCTGACCATTTCACCTGCTGACAGTGATGACCAGCGCAGGTCTGGGTTGGGGACCAGGAGGTTGGGGGTCTTAGGCTGGGGGTGGGGAGGAAAGGAGGACTTGGGGGCTAGATCTCTGTGCCAGTCAGCTCTCTGTGGAAAAAAAAGGCTCAGATAATCAACTTAGTGAGAGAAAAGGTTTATTCTGGCCCACAGTTTCTGATGTTTCCATCTTGGATCACTTACCTCTGTGTCTGTGGTGGCACGGTACATCACGGTGGCAACACATGGCAGAGACTAGTACATGGCGCGGCAGCTGACAACCAAACAAGAGGGAGAAAATTGGGGGTCTGGTATCTCAATATCCCCTTCAAGGGCAACAGACATTCCCAGTGACCTAACATCCTTCTGTTAGGCCCCACCTCCTAACGGGTTGCCATCTCCCAGAAGCACCATGTGCTGAGCAACCAAGTCTTTATACAAGACCTTTCAAGATCTAAACTATATCAGACCTGTTAATGGGATTTGGGCCCAGATTCAGGGGTTTCTGGAGCCTGCATTCCTTTTTTTTTGGGGGGGTGGCTCAGCCCACCCTGAGGGCAGTGGCATGTGGTACCAGGGATCGGACCGTGGTCCCCTGCACTTGCCTAAGCTTGCCTGAGCAGGCGCTTTAGACTGCTGAGCTATTGCTGGCCCTGAGGCCTGAATTTCTGACCTTGCTCTTTCTTATGTCCTCAGACTTGTCTACTATGAAGGAGGATCTGTGTGTACCCATGCCCGCTCCCTCTGGAGGCTGGAACCATTGAGAATCAGGTTGTGTGTGTGTGTGTGTGTGTGTGTGTGTGTGTGTGTGTGTGTGTGTGTGCGTGCGCACTCGTAGAGGCTGAAGAAGGGGGGCTAGGGTCTCTGCAAGAGGCCCGGGAGGGAATACAGTGTCTCCAGGGAAGATCTGAGGAAGAGATTGGAGCATCTGGAGAGAAATCTGGGGAGCTCATGAGAAAGATGAAGGTCTCTGGAGTCCTGAAGCAAAAGGAGGTCTTGGAAGAGAGTGGGAAGTTCCCGAGGGAAATCTTGGGGAGTGGAGGGGTTTAGATAAGACTGGGGGCACTGGAAGCATCCTGGGAGCTCCAAAGAACCTTTGAAGGCCTGAGAGAAGTTTGGAGTACCTAAGGTAGGGTTGAGGGATGCTAGGAAGATTTGTGGATACCTGAAAAGACTGGGAAAACCCTGGAAGGGAGATTGGGGGATTGAGAAAGCTTGGGCCAATACTGTGGTGTCCAAGGGAAGACAGGGGCACCTCTCACTTCCTTCACCTTTGCCCTCTGCAGCTGGAGTGGCAGCCACCTGCGCTGGGGCCAGCCGCTGCGCATTCGGCATGTCACCACTGGGCGGTACCTGGCCCTCACTGAAGACCAGGGCCTAGTGGTGGTTGATGCCAGCAAGGCCCACACCAAGGCTACTGCCTTCTGTTTCCGGATCTCCAAGGTCTGTGGGTGTCAGGGTGACTGCCTCACGAAGAGTTTGAACCCCACTCTGGCTTCCACTCTGTGGGCATCTACCACTAGATGCATATACAAAGCGGGCTGACCTTTGTCCCTTGTCCCTGCAGGAGAAGCTGGATGTGGCCCCAAAGCGTGATGTGGAGGGCATGGGCCCCCCTGAAATCAAGTATGGGGAGTCATTGTGCTTTGTGCAGCACATGGCCTCGGGTCTATGGCTCACCTATGCTGCCCCGGACCCCAAGGCCCTGCGGCTTGGTGTGCTCAAGAAGAAGGTGAGTGCTTACGGGGAGAGAATAGGAGTACAGGCAGGGGCAAGAAGGGGCTGGGTGGTCATGCTCGAGGCTTCAAGATGCTGGAGATGGGAGACAAAGACTGAGAGAGGAAAATAGACTGAGAGGGACAAGAAAACTGAAACAGGGAGGGAAAGAGAAGAATACAGACAAAAAAAGAAAGAAAAGAAAAGAGACTGAGAGACTTGGAAACAGAGAGAAAAAGGCAGACAATGACAGACTGAGAATAACTAACAAATGATCCTTGAGTACCCAAGAGGTCCTGGATGTGTATGTGGGGGAAAATAGACGAGCTAAGCTGTCCTCTGTTGGTCAGGAATGGTGAATAAAAACCATTTGGTGGAGAACACAGCTTTACAGTTGAGGAGTAGTAAAGCTGCTTTTGACAGAGGACAAGGCCCTGAGGTTGGAATGCAGTGTGGCTGGAGCAGAGTGAATGCGGGGCGATTGGGGGGAGGTGAGGACAGGTGGGAACATGTGGTAGGATATGTTTTAGTTTTTATCCTGTTTGGAGCCACAAGAGTTTGGAGCAGGGCACGAATGTGATCTTACTCTGGGCCTGGAGTTCCTAATCTGACTGCCAGGCGGGCAGAGCTGGAATCCAGAAGGAGAGTGCTGTGATGGTACAGGTGGCAAGTGACAGCCGACAGGCCCGGGATGGGGACTGTAGGTTCTCGTTGTATTTTGAGGGTGGAGCCAATAGGATTTGCTGACTGATTGATATGAGGGGAGAGAGAAAGGTGATTTGGTGATTATTTCCCCCCTGAGCAGCAGTAAAGGTGGAAGGACCATTAAATGGGATGGGGACTCAAGTGTCAGCTCAGGACAGAGATCTTAAGTTTCCTCCCAAGCCTAGGGAACAGCTCCTCAATAAAGATTTACAGAGTGAATGTGTGGGAAGCCAGGGAGGCCCCTTTTCAAAAAAAAAAAAAAAAAAAAGAAGGCCTGTATTTGGAGACAGAAGAGGAGGATGGAAGGTGGGACCCCGGCCTGAGGGAACAGGTGGGAACCTGCAGCAGGTGGGTTATGTTTCAGCTGTGCAAGTGGATGATATGTGGGGGTCCACGGGGGTGAAGCTGGCAGCTGGACGGGCTCACCTTGTGAAAAGGTAGCCAGCTTTTCTTCATGGGACGTGCTAAGTTCAGGGTGCAATTAGAGATGTGATGGGTGGGTATTTCCCACAGTACTGGGAATGAAATGCAGGGTCTATGGGTGCTAGACAAGAGCTGTACCACTGAACTATACCTACAGGCCTTGGGGGCTGGGTTATAAATCAGTAATAGATAGGGATGGACACAGCCTGGTCTGGAGGTAGACAAGGTGGAGGGGAACAGAGACAAAGCAGCAGAGACAGAGACAGGGAGAGGCAAGACAAAATGTGGGCTAGAGGTGAGACAGAGAGATACAGAATGATGGAGATAGGAGAGAAAGATAGATGAAGAGGGTGAAAAGGGAGAGATTGGCAGCTAGATTCTATAGCATAGGTGGCAGCTGTGAGACAACTCTAAGAGAAGGCCGGCTCGTGGTGGTGGCTGAGCCCCTCCCCGCCTCCCTGTCTCCGCACACCCAGGCTATGCTGCACCAGGAAGGCCACATGGACGACTCACTGTCACTGACCCGCTGCCAGCAGGAGGAGTCCCAGGCTGCCCGCATGATCCACAGCACTGCCGGCCTGTACAACCAGTTCATCAAGTAAGCAGCAGCCACCCTGTAGGGTGACCCCAGGCTCCTGGCATCCGGTACTTGAGACCTCTAACATCACAGCCCTGTCTAACACACTGAAGATCCCTGTCTCTAAATCCCAGACTTCTGTGTGGTTAACCGCTCATGTGACCCAGGCAACCATGATCTTTGACCCCACATCCCCATTATCACCTGGCACACCCCAGACACTCAGGGCCTTGACCCTGACCCTCCCCAGCCTGACTTCTAAGACCCCCGGTCCTGATGCATGAGCAAGTCCCAGCCATGCGGTTGGCCGCTGTGTGACCTCGGGCCCAGGCTTTTCCCTCCCAGTCTCTGCCCACGCCCAGGCAGGTGTCTGCTAGGCCTGCGGGGGCTGGCGGGGGCTGGCGGGGACTTTAGGAAGGGGTGACAGTCGGCACTAGGAGCCCTGGCTCACAACTGTGTTCTCCGCAGGGGCCTGGACAGCTTCAGTGGGAAGCCAAGGGGCTCAGGACCCCCAGCTGGCTCAGCGCTGCCCATCGAGGGCGTCATCCTGAGCCTGCAGGACCTCATCGGCTACTTCGAGCCACCCTCGGAGGAGCTGCAGCATGAGGAGAAGCAGAGCAAGCTGAGGAGTCTGCGCAACCGCCAGAGCCTCTTCCAGGAGGAGGTGAGGTGGGGGTAGGGCCCGCGAGGGGCGGGGCTACGTTGATGGGCGGGGCCGAGAGGAAGGGAAGGGAGCGAGGGCGGGGTGGCGCCTGAGTGAGGCCGGGTGACCAGGCTTGGCGGAGCAGTCAGGCTGAGTGGGGTGGGACTGGTGATTCGAGGGGCCACGTCTGTGAGAGTGGGGCCGTAGGCGGGAGGACAGAACTAGAGTGGGACATAGATGATCTTGGGGCAGGAGGAGAGTGGAGGGAGGGTTATCAGCTCAGGGCTGGGAGTCTTAGAACACGAAGGGAGGAGATACAAGGCTTACCCCAGCCAGAGTTCTGAGTGAGAGGAGCCGAGAGGGCTGGGATCAGCGGCCTGGACAAAGGCCAGGGATTTTATGCTGTTGTCGGGCGGAAGGGATCATATCTACTCAGAGGGTTTCAACCTGGCCCCCTCCTATCCAAGGACTTCCAGCCTCCCCGGGGAGAAAGAACCACATAAAAGACAATATTAGTGCCAGCTACCTGGGAGGCTGAGGCAGGAGGATTGCTTGAGTCTAGGAGTTTGGAGCCAGCCTGGCAAAACAGTGAAAACTTGTCTCTTAAAAAAATTATGGGGCCAGCCAGATAACTCAGCGGATTAAAACGCCTGCTTTGGCAGATGCAGGCACCGCATGCTACGCCAGCCCTGCCCACAGGCATGCTGAGCTGGCCGCTGAGACCGGGCATGGTGGTGCATGCCTGTAATCCCAGCACTGGGGAGGCTGAAAACAGGAGGATCACTATGAGTCCAACCGGTGTAGTCCAACCTGTAGACCCTGTACTAAATATGTTTAAAAAACATTATGACCGAGGCTTGCAGGAACTTCCTGGATTTCTCCTAGGAGAGATGGTTCATTATTCAGTAACTGGGTATTCATTGCAACTTTATGGCATAACTACATGAATAATCAGAGTCAATTGTTTGACTTTTATATACTTCTGTATGTGTGTATTTATTTACTTATTTATTTATTGCGGTGCTGGGGATTGAACTCAGGACCCTGTGCTTGTCAGGCAAGCACTTATTCTACTGCGCTATCTTCCCAGCCCTGTATGTGTGTTATCATTCACTATTAAAGAAGACAAATTAAAATGTAGAAAAGGAGAAAGTGAGAAAAATAAATAAATAAAACCCTAACTGTTAGTATGGAGAGTGAGCCAGACCAGTTAGGACCAGGAGTGGGGTGCTTGGCAATGAATAGGATGGAGAGAAAACTAAAGAAAAGAGAAGCACAATTAATTCATTCTTTTTTTTAAAATTTTTATTTGTGTGTGTGTGTGTGTGTGTGTGTGGCCAGCTCAGCCCACCAGGGGGCGGGGCTGGCTGGCATGTGGTGCTGGGGGATTGAACTGCGGTCCCTATCTTTGCTTAAGCTTGTTCTAAGTAGGTGCTTTAGACCACTGAGCCATCTCACCAGCCCAATTAATTCATTCTTGATGTTAATAAAAGTATGTTATTTTGGAGAGAGGGGAAGAAAAGACAAGGACGGATTTGGGAACCCAAAGAGGAGAGGAGAGTCATGGGACTGATTTGGCACATCAAGCTAAAGGGATTGACTTAAACCAGAAAGCACACAGTCACTAACTGTTGGAGGAATATGAATTAGTAAATCCAAGCCAGACAAAGAGTCAGGGCCCTGGGATTCCTCTGGTGACTCCACTCCTTGTTTTTCCGACCTCAGGGGATGCTCACCCTGGTCCTCAATTGCATTGACCGCCTAAATGTCTACACCACTGCTGCCCACTTTGCTGAATTTGCAGGGGAGGAGGCAGCTGAGTCCTGGAAAGAGATTGTGAACCTGCTCTATGAGCTCCTGGGTAAGGAGAGATTCAGTCTTAGCTTCCCCCAGAGCATTCCAGATCCCCAATCCCATTGAGTTTGAACCCTGTGGCTTCCTCAGCCTCTCTGATCCGTGGCAATCGTACCAACTGTGCCCTCTTCTCCACGAACCTGGACTGGCTGGTCAGCAAGCTGGATCGGCTGGAGGCCTCATCTGGTAGGAGGACCAGGGAAAGGGACAGGGGCTTAGGGGATAGGAGGGCCACACCGTCTCATCTCTCCTGCTGGCACCTGGACAGGCATCCTGGAGGTACTGTACTGTGTTCTGATCGAGAGTCCTGAGGTCCTGAACATCATCCAGGAGAACCACATCAAATCCATCATCTCTCTCCTGGACAAGCATGGGAGAAACCACAAGGTTGGCTCCTTACTCCTGACCTCTCACCCCTGACCTTTGAACTCTGACCTCTTCCCATGGCCTCAGGATACCCCTTCTTCATCTTATCTGTGACCTGGACTCCACTCCCATATCCTTTCATTACATCACAAGGGTCTCAAGCTCATGGCTCTTAAATGTATTCTAGGGCACAGTACTTTGTCAGATCCTTGAAATGGCTTTAAAAATTTCAGATTTCCTAGCCTGCAGGTGGGAAATATGCTTTACACTTTGCTACAGGTCTTCCCAGTTCCCACTGCATGATTTCTAACTTCTTCACACACTTATGTCCTCCACCTGACCTCTAAAGACACAGGGGCCAGAATCTCAGCTTGATTCCTTTGGCTGTCCCTGATCTATTCACTCTGCTCTCTGATCTCCTTGCTCACAACTTCACTCTCTCCTTTGTGACGTCACTGATGACTTACCTCAACAACTCTGGTTTGCCTCCCTGGTCCTTCCATGGTCTCCTGTTGCGGTGTCATTACAGCCCTCGACCTCTGACCTTAACCTCCAGGTCCTGGACGTGCTGTGCTCCCTGTGTGTGTGCAATGGTGTGGCTGTGCGTTCCAACCAAGATCTCATTACTGAAAACTTGCTCCCTGGCCGTGAGCTTCTGCTGCAGACAAACCTCATCAACTACGTCACTAGGTATGGGTCGTGACCCCCAACTCCAGGCTCAGAGATCCTTTCCCCTTTTCCTGACTCAGAGACTCCAACTTAGCTGGGTGTCCCTTCCCTCAACACTAGCCACGGGGTGTCCACCTTGTTCCTGCTTGGCCTTGGCTCCCTAGTCCTCTGATTCTCTGTCCTGGGCTCCATTTCTGCCTGTGCTACCTCTTTCTTCTCTCACTTTTTTTTTTTTTTTTTTTAGACAGGGTCTCACTTTGCAGTTCAGGCTGGCCTTGAACTCACTTTGTAGCCCAGGCTGGCCTTAAGCTTGTAGCAGTCTTCCTGCCTCAGTCTTCTGAGTGCTGGATTATAGGCATGCACCATGACTCCTGGCTTTTCTCTTTTTTGGGTAGGGGAGAATGGGAATTGAACTCAGACCTTATACTTGCTACACAGGTGCCATACAGCTGAGCTATATCCACACAGGTGCTGTACAGCTGAGCTATATCCCCAGTCCTTGGTTTTTCTTTTTATCTTTGCCTGTTTCTGTTTCTCTTTCATCTCCTCTCTGGCTCTTTCCTGTCTCTCTATATGTCTTTTGATGTCTCTCTGCCTCTGTCCTTCCTCCAACTGGCTCCCCCTCCATCTCCCCTGTCCCATTTCTCTTGCAGTATCCGCCCCAACATCTTCGTGGGCCGAGCAGAGGGCACCACGCAGTATGGCAAATGGTACTTTGAGGTGATGGTGGATGAGGTGGCTCCGTTTTTGACAGCCCAGGCCACCCACCTGCGGGTAGGCTGGGCCCTCACAGAGGGCTACAGTCCCTACCCTGGGGGCGGCGAGGGCTGGGGCGGCAACGGGGTCGGCGATGACCTCTACTCCTACGGCTTTGATGGACTGCATCTCTGGACAGGTACGTGAACCCCTTTGGGGGATGCACCTCTGACTGTTAACCCTAGAGTTTCCAAAACTTTAACCACATACCTTAGCATTCTTAGGACTGAATTCCATAAGAGGCAAACTTTGACCCCTTACTCCTTATTTCTCAAGACTGTAACCCTAAATCTTCCAGAATGCTGGGAGACTTATTTCCTCATAGCCCCCAGAACTCTGCCTTTAGGCGAGGTATGACATCTGACCCTAGAGATCCCAGATATTGCTCCGAGTAGTATGACTTGTGCCCTTTATTTAACTTGTGACCTGTAGTGTTCCATAATCATAATTTTTTTTTTTCGGAACCGGGGATTGAACTCAGGCCCTTGCACTTGCCAGGCAAGTGCTTATTCTACTGAGCCATCTCCCCGGCCCTAATAATCATAATTTGAGGAGGACATTGATATGATCCTTCAGTTTCCAGGATCCTAACCTCAGGGGAACCCTGCTCTGCCTCTAATTTTAGGGCTATAGGACTGAACATGGTAATGCCTTCCCCTATGGATTCCAAGATCCAGTCTCCAGAAGATCCTCCAATGTTTGCCCCATGTCTCTTGATATGATTGCTTCCATAGTATCTCTGACTCAACCCTCTCTCTGGTGACCCTGGTGCAGGACATGTGGCACGCCAAGTGACTTCTCCAGGACAGCATCTCCTGGCCCCTGAGGATGTGGTCAGCTGCTGCCTGGACCTCAGCGTGCCATCCATCTCCTTCCGCATCAATGGCTGTCCTGTGCAAGGCGTCTTTGAAGCCTTCAACCTTGATGGGCTCTTCTTCCCTGTTGTCAGCTTCTCAGCTGGCATCAAGTGAGGGCTTGTCCTTGCTCCATTGTCCATCCTAGGTTTAGAGACTGACTCTAGGGAGCTTCTCCATCACTTATGGCTTCTTCCTCTTTTTTTTTTTTTTTTTTTTTTGTGGACCCTGGGATTGAACTCAGGCCCTTGTGCTTATTCCACTAAGCCATCTCCCCAGCCCCTACTTATGGCTTCTTAGAAGGCCAGGACAGAGCAGTCTATCATCAAAACTGACTGGTGGCCAGAAAAACCCTATGTGTAAGTCGTACTGGCTCTACACGAGCTTGATGACCTCAAACTCTTCCCAGCTCCATGTCAGTGCTGGGTGATCCTAGAATTTCGCAAAGACCCTATAATGACCTCAGGCTCTCCAACTCCATGTCATTGCATACAACCTCTAAGTGACTCCATTTAACCATAGAATGACCTCCAGACATCCCAGGATGTCCCAATGATCCAAGACCTTCTAGTAACCTCCCAAAGCCTCTAGTAACCTTAGAATCTTTCAGTGACTCCAGAATCTGATAATGATCTTATGACCGCAGGCCCTCTTTGATCCCCCAGTGACCTCAGACTTTCGCAATGGCTCTGTCCTCTTCCAATAATCTCTCAGTGACGCCAGCATCTCTAGTGATGAGCCAATAGGCCCAGACCTTCACAGTGACCCCCCTATAACCATAACTGTAGCTAATTTAAAGACCTGTGAATGACTCAGTCCTTTTCCAGTGATTTACCACCACCCCCCCCGCCAACTCTCTGAATGTTCATTTGGTGGAGATATGATTATTTCATAACTATGACAGACTCTAAGTGACTCCTAAAATGGTCTCTTCCAAACTTCCATTATTCCCAGATACTCTGTTGACCTGGTGGGTCTCATTCAAAGGTCTTTCCCATGACCTTGTATTAATGGGAACTCAGAATTACTAACTACAGCCCCTTTCACCTTAATCTCCTTGATGACCCTGCAGTTTGCTTTGAGTCCTCCCTTGGTATTTGCTGCCATTCCTTTGACTGTAGACTTTCTGGCTCTTTGATGACCCCCATGACCCTGTAAATGCCCAGGGACCTCAGGTCCCCCAAAACTCCCATCAATCCCAGAATTGATCCTGTATCCTCCTATGATCACAGACTCTCCTTTTTCCTTTCCCAGGGTGCGGTTTCTCCTTGGTGGCCGCCATGGTGAATTCAAGTTTCTCCCTCCACCTGGTTATGCCCCCTGCCATGAGGCAGTACTCCCTCGGGAGAGGCTCCATCTGGAACCCATCAAGGAGTATCGACGGGAAGGGCCCCGGGGGCCCCACCTGGTGGGGCCCAGTCGCTGCCTGTCACACACAGACTTTGTGCCTTGCCCTGTGGACACTGTCCAGGTATATTCTGCCTATAGGGGCTCCAGGGAGGTGGGGGAAGGCTGTCCTAGGAGTCAGGGAGGTGGAGAGCTAAGCTGGAAACTGGGAACTCTGTTGATTGACATATGGAGAAACTGAGGCCTGGAGGAAGCAAAGGACTCTCTCAAGGCAGAGTATCAGTTCTAGGGAATCCTCACTATGGCCCCATAAGGCAAGAGCAGCTATTTGCAGTTGAGGAAGTCAAGATTCAGAGAGGTTAGGCAACCTGTGCAAGTCACACAGCTGATTTGAACATAGAAGAGATGTGATTCTGGGGCCTCTGGTCATATCCACTACAACTTGTTGTGTCTTGGCCTGTCTCTCTGTCTCTGTCTCTGTCTTGTACTTTGAGTTGAATCCAGGGCCTTGGCATTGAGTTACATCCCCAGCTCTTTTTATTTTTTATTTTTTATGTATTTGGTACAGGGTCTCATTATGTAGCTTGGACTTGTAGTGATTCTCCTGTGTTCAGCCTCTCCAGCGCTGGGATTATAAGAGTATTGGCGGGGGTGGGGGGGCTGGTGAGATGGCTCAGTGGTCTAAAGCGCCTACTTAGAACAAGCTTAGCAAATCGCAGGGACTGCGGTTCAATCCCCCAGCACCACATGCCAGCCAGCCCCGCCCCCTGGCTGAGCTGGCCACACACACACAAATAAATAAATAAATAAATAAATAAAATAAAGATTAAAGAAAAAAGAGTGTTTGGCCATGCCCGGTCTTGGTAGCAGTTCAGTATGCCTGGGGGCAGGGCCAGCACAGCACATCTTTTTAATATTTTGAGACAGATTCACTAAGTTGCCTAGGCTAGGCTCAAATTTTCAGGCCTTTTGCCTTAACCTCCTGGAGTGCTGGCATTACAGGAGTACATACAGCATTTTTAGTGTGCTGGTTTTGACTATGACTCATCACAAGAGTCATAGTCAAGATTTTCCCACTTGAGGCATTATGTAGACACCTAAAAAGTTTCTGACTTCCAAGTGTTTTGGATCTTAGGTTTCCAGATTAGGGAATCTACAGCTGCATAATACCCAGTAGTTCACATACAGGACTGCAATGAGTCCAGATGAGGCAGGTCATGAGTGAAGCGTTACCAATGCCGCTTTACGGAGAGGGGAAGGACACATCTGTTCATTCAGCAGACAGGCCCTAAGCATCTCCTCTGAGTCTGGCTCAGGGTGGGGCGGGCTGGGGACTGGTAGAGATTGAGGCAGCCCAGGCCCTGCGCTCCTGGAGCTCCACTGTCTCCAAGGGACTCTACCCTGATATGCTGTTCTTTACTCATCTAAGCATCAACCTGGAATCAGGACCAGGGTGGAGAGCAGGGCTGTGGAGAGGGGTATGGGGGGCCTGCTCAGGCTCTCCTGGGCTCTTGGGATGAGGGATCAATGGTGGGTGGCGGTGGGATGTCAGGGACTTTATGAACATCCCTCCTTCCCAGATCGTCTTGCCCCCCCACCTGGAGCGTATTCGGGAGAAGCTCGCCGAGAACATCCATGAACTATGGGCACTGACGCGCATCGAGCAGGGCTGGACCTATGGCCCGGTGAGGCAGCAGGCTGCGGCGTGGTACTGCTTGAGGAGGGCTCAGTGCTGCCTGGGGCTTCAGGGCCATGCGTGGGCTGCAGCAGCCACAGTCGGAGGTCCGAGGTCACAGCTTGGGTAGGCTGGGGCAGGGAGGGAGCCTGAGGAGTTGAACGCCGGGTTTTTCCAGGTTCGGGATGACAACAAGAGGCTGCACCCGTGTCTCGTGGACTTCCACAGCCTCCCAGAACCTGAGAGGAACTACAACCTGCAGATGTCCGGGGAGACTCTCAAGTAAGGGAGTCCCAGGGAGCAAGGGCTGGGCCCACTGGTGATGGGAACAGCGCAGAGAGAGAGAGAGAGAGAGAGAGAGAGAGAGAGAGAGAGACAGACAGACAGACAGACACACACACACACACAGAGACAGACAGGATACAAGAGCAAGAAAGACAAGCAAAGACTGTGAGACAAAACTGACAGAAGAGAAAGGCACTTAGGCAGACACAGGGACCGGGTTCGATACCTGGCGCACTGAGATGGCAATTGAGACTGGGCATGGTGCGCTGTAATCCCAGCGCTTGAGAGGCTGAAAACAGGAAGATCACTACAAGTCGGATTTGTGTAGTGAAACCCTGTAAACCTTGTATTAAATACATTAAAAGAAGAAGGAGAAGCAGAAGGAGAAGAAGAAGGAGAAGGAGAAGAGAAAGGCAGTGGCATGTCCCCAGCTACTTGGGAGGCTGAGCCAGAAAGATGACTTGAGCCCTTGGGTAGTAGGCCCCTGAGAGCCAGAGAGCCAGAGCCAGAGACAGAGACAGAGACAGAGACAGAGACAGAGACAGAAATGGAAGCAGATGAATGAGAAATGGACATAGTCAAAGGGATACAGGACAAAAAACCAGAAAGGACAGAAGTCAGCCAGACTGAGATGGATGGGTGCAGGGAGAGATTTCAACAGCTCGAGCAAGAGGCAGAGAGGTAAAGACTCAAAGATGCAACAGGGTCAGGACCTTGTCACCTTGCTCCCCACTCAGGACTCTGCTGGCACTGGGCTGCCACGTGGGCATGGCGGATGAGAAGGCGGAGGACAACCTGAAGAAGACAAAGCTCCCCAAGACGTGAGTCAAGGCAGCCCAGGGCCTGTCTGGGGAGTGGGGTGGGGACTAAGGAGGGGGGAAAAGGGGGCTTTGTGGGGAGACTGAGGTCAGAGCTAAAGGGGCTGTGGGCTTAGGGCTCAGAGGTGAATGTCCAAGGCTGAGAGACTAGGAGTCCTGGAGAAAGAAGGATAGGAGTGGGTCAGCAAGATAGCTCAGCAGACTAAGCACCTGCTTAGGCAAGTGCAAGGACCAGGGTTCAATCCCTGGCACCACATGCTGTGCCAGCCCCACCCCTGGGTACACTGAGCTACCCACCCAGACAGGGTATGGTGTCACACGCTTGTAATCCTAGCTCTGGGGAGACTGAAAACAGGAGGATCACTACTAATCTGAGCTGCGTAGTGAGACCCTGTACCAAATACATTGGGGAAAAAAAAATGAAAGGAGTGAGTCCAGGATGCAGGTCAGTGTCTTGCCTGAGAAAGTGAGGTGACATCTCCATGTTCACAGCAAGGGGTCAGTGATGACAGGCGAGAACACAGAGGCTGACAGAGATGTAGCCAATTCTAAAATTATAGTGAGGGATTAGAGGTCCTGATTTAGAGGTCAAGGACACTAAGGCCAGAAGTTTAAAACTGATTTGGTTGAGTCAGAAGTAAGAACCCTCAAAGCTAGCAGTGAGAGGCCAAAGAGTGTCAAGGTCAAGATAAGGCTCCCAAAAATCAAGTTGAGGGGGTCAGAGAGGCCAGAGTCAGTGATGTCAAAGCTTTTGCTAGGGTCACTGGATCCTAGGGTCAGGGGTCAAAGATCTCGGTTTTTTCTAGGAAGTCCTAAAACTTTGATATGAGTTCAAAGGTCATGGCAGGTCTGGTGGCACATACCTGTAATCCCAGATGCTTGGGAGGCTGAGGCAGGAGGATCATAAATTCAAGGCTAATATGGATAATTTAGCGAGACCCTGTCTCAAAAAAAAAAAAAAAAAAAAAATGTCTAGGGATACAGTGTAATGGTAAAATGCCTCTGGGTTCCAACTCCTCTGCTGTTGAAAGAGGGGAAAGAGGGGGCCGGCCCATTAGCTCAGTTGTGGAAGTGCCTGCTTAAAGGAGCCAGTCAGTTTCTTGGAGCGCTGGTTCCATTCCCACATACTCAAGGCAACCCAGACCAGCGCTGCTGCAGG